CCCAGTAATAAACCGAGTCTTGGCAGAGAAGAATGAGCTGATCTAGATCCGGGGCATCTTCTCACAACTTAATGGACAACAGTGCAATCTTAAAAATACATCTGCCAGAAATTTTTCTTTGGACTGTCACTACTGGTTCCCCAAGTAACCTTTCAATGGATGGTTCTTTAAAGAACAATTTTTGTAAATGAGATGTACGAGTGAGAAGAACCCAGACACGTATAAGTGTGAAGAACCTTCTTAAAGTTTATAGAACCTCCACACAATATGGAGATTTTATAGCAATTAAGGGTTTGTTTAGAGCTGTATATCCAAGATATCCAAGTCAAGAACCTTTCATTTTTAAGAATGTAAAACAAGACATCAGCTAATTATTTGAAGATGTGCTGTCAACACATGCTTTTATATTATGTCATTATATTATTTTATATATATTTATATTATGTTTAGATTATAATATTAATACTAAAATAAATATATAGATAGATATTTGAATGTTTCCATTTGATTTTGTCCCCCTTTATTCCTCCTTCTGTTAATCGCTTTAGCAGCTATGTGTAATGGTAGTAACGCAGTGCTGAACTGAGGCAGGTGCAGCTCATGACTGTCAGGCAGAGATGAATGTTGGTGTTTCTGAGTGCGTGGGGACTTACTTAATCTGGTTCACCCACTGGATGCCAGAGTCTCTTTAAATGGCACGGTGGATTGTTCCTGCAGCCCACAGCCCACAGCCTGGCTCTGCTCTCTGCTCTGTGCTCTGCTCCCGCTGCGACTACATACGGAGGAGTTTTGGCCGAGCAAAGTGAGCGACGCCTAAAGGAGGTTAGAGCAGATAAACTCCGAGCTGTAATGAGGTGCTGCGCCGCGCTGCTCCTCTTCTTGTTGATGTTGGTGTTGTTGTTGATGCTGTTGCAAAAGTCTGCGAGCTCGTAAGGAGCTTCTTCAGCGAGCTTCCGCCGTGTGTGCAGGCGCAGCTCCGGAGCCCCCTCCCCCTTTTGCGCTCCGACAGCGCGTGCGAAAGAGCGCGGGAGAAGCGCCGCTGCGTGCTGGGCCCTGCTCTGGACGCGGCGCCACTTCGCCGCTTCGCAAGATGGACCGAAAAGAGCGGAGTCGTGGCACGGACGGAGACGGACGCACGCACGGCGCCAACGCTGCACGCCGGCAGGCTGATGTCAGCACGCTGGAGGGGGAGGGGGACGAACAGGAGCCAGGCGCCTCACACTGGTCACCTCGCGGTACTGCAGCCGCTGTAGTGGCATCTACTGACCTACTGAAGTCAGCGTCAGTGTGGTGAACTGTGAAGCTCATAAAAATAAAATGTAATAGTATTGAAAGCAATGTGACACATACATAGACAGGTTCTTCAAAGGTTCTTGGTAAATAAAGGGAATGGATGTTCTATATAGATCCATCTCATGCTTAAATGGTTCTTTGCATGGTAAAATGGTTCTCCAGATTGATGGAGAACGTGCTGCACAAATGTTTTTTTTTATTGTTACGATGTCAAGCCTGTAACAACAGCAGAACCTTTTGGGTGCTATATAGAACCATGTACAACACATTCTCCATCAAGCTAAAGAACCATTTCACCATGCAAAGAACCTTTCTATATAGAACTATTCTCTTTACGAAAGAACCCTTGAATGTTTGTATTTTTTCTAAGAGTGTATATATATATATTAATATATATATATAATATATATATATATATATATATATATATATAGCAGAATATATAAATATAATCCATTTCATTTTAAACTGATAAGATGCTGGCAGTCACAAAAACCTGCACACACTGATGTTTAGCAGTGATGTTTGATGTTAAGCAGTTTCTTAAGTGAAATTCAGACACGATTGAAACTTGTCCAGATCTTGTGAGGCTGTGTTGGGAAACGTGTGGAGGACAGACAAGATAAACATATCAAAACATTTGCTAAACAGTCAGTGAAGGACATATGTGGATGTGAGCAATTGTTTTGAATGCCAATGTAGTTTTATCTCTACTGAAGTATATTTGTGAGGAAAGGACTCGTTCTTTAGTCTTTATCATTTAGTTACCAGTTCTCTTTTTGTGTTGAGTTTCATTGCTATGTTGGTAACAGCTGTACTGTTTGTGCTAATTTGAAAATGCAGGCTTTACTTTAAAAAGTAAGTAACCTGGTCACCAAATTTTGAGTTCACTGAAGTTAACAGAATTAAGAACAGAAAGAAGATTGTTGTTCTGTTAACTTGCTATTAAAAGTTCAGTTAACTCAAAATGTTAAGGTAACCAGGCTGTTTTTTAAGTTAAAACAACAAATTATTTTTTACAGTGTGTGTGGACTTTTACTTGGAATATTGCTTTTATGTTGGTGACTGCTACACCTCCTAAAGCTTTATGACTCCAAAATAGATTATTAGATTAACATATACATTTACATTTTAAAAATACATTAATTCATCAATGATGATTCGGTAATTCAATCAAATCTTTATTGGGCAACTTGCAAAAGTTAATGGAAAGCTAAAATGTGTAACACGGAAAAGGTAATTGGGTGTAACTCTGATGAACGTGATTACTTTCCCATCTGTTGAGCAAAACGTTTAGGAACTGAGTGTAAATATTATGACTAACAAGCTCTGTATATAGCCTGATGTTGGTGGACGTGCCTTATTTAGAAGCATGTATTGCAGAGTATGGCACAATTACACTGCTGTTGTGTGCTGGTTGTTATTTAATGCGGATATATTAATGGCCCTCTACTCATTAGGCCACACTGAACGTTCAGATCTCTAGGAACAGACTCCTGAACTGGAGATGTACCTAAACCCGGGGGGTTCAGCACCACGGACAGTTCCCCCAACGCTGCTGAATCTGCGTGTTTTGACGCGATTTGCAATGAAATGCCTGCTGATCTGACAAAGATGTAACAATGAGCAAGTCATGAACTCAAACCATTTCTTGTCAGCCTTTCTCTCTCTCTCTCTCTCTCTCTCTCTCTCTTTCTCTCTCTCTATCTCTCTCTCTCCTGTTTTTCACTTTGTCTCCTCGTTTCTTCTCTCTTTCTTTTTCTCTGTTTCCTCTTTTCTTTCTTTCTTTCTTTCTTTCTTTCTTTCTTTCTTTCTTTCTTTCTTTCTTTCCTTACCTCCCTTTTTCCCTCTTCTCTCTTTCTTTCCTTACCTCCCTTTTCCCCTCTTCTCTCTTTCTTTCTTGGTCCCTCTCTCTCTCTCTCTTTCTCTCTCTCACTCTCCTGTGTTCTTCGTTTTGTCCCCTCGTTTCTTCTCTTTCTTCATTTCTTTCTTTCTTTATCTTTCTCTTTCTCTCTCACACTCTCCTGTTTTCTTCGTTTTGTCCCCTCGTTTCTTCTCTTTCTTCATTTCTTTCTTTCTTTATCTCCCTTTCTCCCTCTTCTGTCGGTTGGGCAGTTGGACGGCAGGTGTCGCTCTTCGTGAATATTTGCTCACTGTTCCTGCTGCGGATCCTCAGGTTCAGCTCTGCCTCTGTTCTCAATCTTAATATCCCACCTTATTAGCGACCATCTACACAAAACACCGCACGCGAGTGGAGTCTTCACTCCTCCAGCCTCCATTTAGGCTCCTCTCTGTTCCCCTCAGCATATCTGCTGCATCAGCGCTGCTGTTCTTCTGGCTCTTTCCTTCGTCTCCACTGCTTCTGCTCTTTCTACCGTCAGTTATTATGCCTCGCACTTCGGAATCGTCTCTTTTCTATCGCCTCTTAGCAGCAGTGAAGCGGTGTCAGGTGTCGCGTGTGGATTTGATGCAACGCCTCGCGATCTTTTTTTTGCAGAGCAGCGAATGTGACCTGAATGCAGGACGCGCTTCACTCATGGAATGAGACGCAGAGAAAAAAACACACTCATTCAGAAGAGTCTGCGGAGAGAGAGGGGCTGCTCATCGCGCGCTGAAACCGCAACGACCCTGCAAGCGCCGCTATCAGCGCGGATTCACACGCAGAGGGAATATTAACGGTATTAACGGAGGGGGAAAACGGCGTGAACCGTTCAGCACGAGACCCCCTGCGCTGCCTTTCTGTTCAGCACGGATTTGTGGTGGGAGCGAGCATGGACTGACACTGAGCTACTGGAGCCTGAGGACACACACACACACACACACACACACACACACACACACACACACATACACACACACACACACACATTCACTCACACACACACACACACACACACGCACACACAAACACACACACACATCCACACACGCCCAGCGGTGTGATCAGCACCCCAGCACTGAATCCGCCGTGTATGCGGGGAGGCTCGCGGCACATTTTCCTCGGTAGAGGCGGACAGACGCGGGGCACGAGGGGTGGGAGGGGGGGGGGCGGCAACAGTTTCCAGCTGCAGGCATCGCCGGCCTGGGCTAGCGCTGCTGAGACGGTGGATTTACTGATTTTTTTCACATCGAGTCGAGGCCGCGTGCACTGCAGCATTTGGCGTTTTGTTTCTGCAGTGAGGGGATACTGAGGGGTACTGAGGGGCATCCGCGCCTCAGCACTGCGTTTTTTTCGGGAGGCTAAAGATTGCAGATAGCTCGCCATGACCGTGTAGCTTCAGTGGAGGCGGGGAAAGCCACTCACCCCCTCTCAATCCCTCCCCCCTTTTCGCGTTTTTATTCATTTAAGCATGTGTTTTAGCATAAAGATGCGCTCGCAGAGGCTCACAGTCCGGCATCGTTACGCTGTTTCCGGTTCCTAGCTGCTTGTTTGGTGCCCCCCCATTGCGAAATTTATTGGAGGAGAAAGAAAAGACAGAGAGAGAGAGAAAAGAAGGAAAGAAAAAACCCTAACAAACCCCCCAACCCCCTAAAAAAAAAGCAGCGGATCCCGATGGCACGGCCACTTACGCAGGGTCCGCCGCGCCGCCGCCGTCGCCGTGCCACCGCTCGAGCCCCGTCGCGCTCCCTCGTCCGTTCAGCCCCGCTCCCGAGAGCCGTGCCGCAGCGCGCGCCGCAGCGAGCCGCGAGCCCAAGCCGGCGGCAGCATGAGGCTTGATTCGGTGCACTTCTCCATGCTGGTCGTCGGGGTCTCGCTGGCGTGCTACTCCCCGAGCCTGAACTCGCTGCAGGACCAGGCCCACCGCTCGGCCGTTGTCATCGAGGGCAAGGTGCAGTCGGCGCCCGCCAACGCCAACGCGTCCGCCGAGCCCTACAGCGTGCACGTGAAGGTGCTGGACGTGTGGCCGCGCAACAGCGGCGGCCTCGAGCGCGAGCAGCTCGTCACCGTCGGCGACTTCGGCTCAGCGGCGCCGTGCGCCACAGTGCTCAAGAACCACAAGTACATCTTCTTCATGGAGCCCACCGACGAGCCGCTGGTCTTCAAGGCGTCCTTCGCTCCGCTGGACACCAGCGCCAAGAACCTCAAGAAGGACGTCGGGAGGATCTTGTGTGAAGACTGCGGTAAGTTTAAAAAAAGTACATGACATTGGACGCAGTTGGTCTCATGCTCTCTCGGGTCATGTGTGAAAGGGATGGCATCGAAATATTTTGGGCGTAAAAGGGGCCAGGTAGGTGCTGGGGCGTCTCTGCAGCAACATTAGGCAGGGAATAAAACGGTTAAACGCATGCAGTGCTCATAGGCATGCACGTTGGCTCTCACGCGTTGGCAAGTATCTTGGAGAATCACTTTTTCCCTGTTTAAGCCACTAGCTGTTGCTATACTGTTCGCCCCAGTTGCCTTTCTAACGCCCATGGCGTAGACTTGCTTATATTAGTCTGACAGGCATGAGATCAATTACAGATGAAAAAAATCAGCCTCAACATAACTGGAAATGAGTACATTCACAGGCTGTAATGTGAGCGAATAAGCTCTGTTGATCATACAGAAAGTGCTGCACTGGGAGGAAAAGCTTTATAAAGTTTGGAAGGAAGAGCATAACTATCAGCTCAAAGATTAAACCTTGGCCATGATCACATACTGCTGCACGAATAGTAACTTAGACGGGTGTAAACTCGTGGATGTCCATATAGAAGTTCACTGAGCTTCTTCTGAAAGTGCTACAGTATTTACCACTAATAGTCCCTCTGTGGTTTTCCTTCCTTTGTCCATGTGTGGCTGCTGACTTTGGCCATTTCTGTTGAAGATGTTGTTTCACTGAAACAACTGCATTTCTCCTCATTGCAGCGATGCCATCTGGCCATATGGTCAGTTTGTTCCTCTGCAGATAGGGCTCTTCTCTATAGGCTTGGAGAGGGTTTCGCTGTCCAGGGTGCTGGGTCGGCCCCCTCTTCTTCTAGCACGCGTCTTAACGAGCGAATATTAGCTGAACGATTCTATATTACTGACTAAATGACACGTATTCAAATAACGAGTTTACTAAGTGTAGTAAATATTAGCTCGTGCCACCTTTTAATTCCACAGTCACATCCTGTATGTTACTCAGTTTTGGAGCTGTGCACAGGCCATCGAGAGGATGAGGTGTGTAAACTGCCTGTGGATTCTTTTCGAGGCCCCTTCTGTAGATGACTTTGCAGTTTCTGTTTCTGTTTGCCGGCTGGCTACAAGTTGCTGTTATCGTTGTAGTGGAGTCATCAGCGTCAGTTAAACTCATATGTTAAAACAGATACACGTTATTTATCTTCTCATACTGAAACACTTGTGCTTTTGGTGGATGCGTGTTTTTTTGTACCTGGGTTGTACAATGTAAAGGCAGAGTACAGCTTTTGGTGATGACTTTTTTCAGTAATGTTTCATTCCCACTTTAAGTTTCTCTGCAGGTCTCTAGCTGTCACTGAAAAAATGAATGCATTCAATCTGCTTTCTTCAGATTTGTACTTCATCTACACTTGAATAAAACACACTATACGTCCAATAGAAACATCTAATGTTTGTCCTGAAATCAAGCGTAGTGAACAAGGATAGGTTTGTCCCCCTCTTTGCTGCAGTAATAGCCTCTACTCTACTATGTTTAACACTGGATGTTGGTTGCATTAGTGAGGTCAGGTACTGGTGTTGGATGATCAGTTCTGGATCACAAACACCACTCCAACTCTAAGGATGTGTTCCACCACTCCAGAGAACACAGTTCCACTGGACTTTTACCCTTCTAGCCAATGCTTGGCATTGGACATGGTGAACTTTGAGCTCATGTGCGGCTCCTATAAAGCATTCCATTCTATTGGCAATGCTTTTCTATGGAGATTATACAAGCTGCTTGTGCCCAATTCTCTAAGTACAAACAGTGTTAGGATACTTTTGTACATACACATCAGACAGCCGTTTTCAAACCAGTCTTCAGAGCTCTCAGATGGTCCACATTTTTCCGCTATACTGATGTGTTGCAGAAAAATGTGGGCCATCTGGGGATCCCCGTGGACTGGTTTGAGAACCTCTGATATAGTGTATATCAACGCTGTCTTTGCATTTTGTCACTTTTGGCAACACATGTTGTTGTATGTAATACATTTCATTCACGTGGGAAGGATGCACACTTCAATCCAGTCAATTAAAATGTATTACTTGTTCCCAGTCATAAGACCCCATGAATAGTGTCCAAGCAGGCCTAAAAAGACTCACGTTCTGACCTATTAACCTGGGTGGAATTTTCTCTAGACTGACGGGAACCTTCACTAACATACTCTGCTTCCAAATATGTCATGTCTGCCTCCTGGCTCAAGTTTTATATATGTATATATAGTTTTTTTGTCCCTGTTGGCTCAACCTAGGTTGAAAGCCTGTAAATGGTGGCAGTTTGAAGGGGATTTTCAGTATTTTGTCTTCTCATAGACCCCCATGGAGCAGACCTACATATTACCCCCCTCCAGCTCTTGTGTTTTGAGCGAAGGGTGGGTAGAGGCGGTGGTGCAAATTTCAAATTTGACAGTTCTCCCTATCCACCTCTCTCTCTCTCGCTCTCTCTCTCTTGCTCTCTATCTCATTGCTCTCAATATGTCAATATGTATGTGTGTCAGAATATTTTGGTGTATTCCGAGTGTGTTGTTTATCTTTGCTTCTTTTAATATCAGAAATGTTATTGGATATGTTACATGTGAAGCCTTTTTTAAGTGCTGTCCTCCTAACCCTCATCCCTCATCATGGAGATCACAGCTGGGTAGAGATGCCGGTCATGAATTTGCCCCTGGCAGAATATCACTGATCCTCAAGATTTCTCTGGCATAACGGCATGACACAGAGACAAGAATAACAGCTGTTGATTGACATGCACTTAGGGAAGGGCTTATTTTCTCTGATCAAAATCTGTGTCTGGGTTACTTGGTTTGACTTATTTTGGGATGCTAAAGTAGAATCAGAAAACCCTATAGGAAAGGGAAAGAGGCTTTCATGGTTTTTTAGCAGTCTGTATGAGGGAGTAGCCTGTATGTGGAACTAATTACTGTATATTCCTCTGAGATTTTGATGATGGGTGCCTGGGGGACATTGCTAATTTATCCCATTTTGGGGCTTGAGACTGCTGTTGGAGGGAGAAAACTGCACTGAGGAAAGACTCTATGGAAAGTCAGTATTTCACTCTTATATGTTTACGCTCTTGAAAATATAGGTGCCAAAAAGGGTTCTTTGGAGTGATGCCATTTTGGACTCCCTGAAGAACCTTTCAATAACTTGTGTATGAGATGTGTGAAGAACATTTTGCAGTTTGAAGAATTTGTGCATAATGTAAAGGTTTTTTCCTAGTACTGTATGTCTGAACCAAGAACCATCTATGTTTAAGAATGTAGTTCAGTAACACATAAGGAGGTTTGTCAGTAACACATAAGGGATGTATGGCTGTTATTTAGTATGAATTGGCAAAAGAAGCTTTAGAAAATGCAATGTATGCTTTGAGGACTTACCTGAACACTGTCCGGGTCTCAGGAGGAGGGTATCCTCTTGTTAAAGGGAGAAAAAACGTGCTATAGATTGTTATTGCCAGATTTATAGAGTGTCATATTTAGGATAGCAAAGCAGGTGTGTGCATCAACCAGCTTGTCCCACTTTTGCATTGCTCCAGGAAAAGAAAATCTCTCTCTGCAGCTCACCCACACACATTCCCTCTAGACAAACAGGCCTTCAGTCAGAATCTGTTTGGACACCAGCAACCCCTGCATAACTGCCATGGACTTTTATGGAACTATAACACACCTACTTCAATAATGTAGTTGGTGGGATTTTAGTGTTTTTTCAAGTAAAAGGATTTCAGAATACGGAGCTGTGCCCCTTAACCCATTAAAATGTAATCAGAACCCTGCGTGAAATCACTCTGTTCTTATCTGTCAGCCTGTCCATCCATCTACAACTGTTACTTCTCAGCTAAAATGTAATGGGCAGCAGAGACTATGGCTTCAAAACAGCAAATCTGCTAGAAAGAGCTAGTTTAAACCCCACTACTCAAGCAAATAAAATGACCCCAATCAGCCTGATGGGCCTTTGATGTTTGAGTCTGTATCTCTTCAACCATGAGGCATAAGTCAAAGTTCTTTTTTTTCAGCTTATGCTGATCAAAATAACCTTATGGACCTTACACTACTGCCATATTGGGTTTGATGCTAATTTGCATAATATGAGAAATCTACTCATGTTTTTCAATCGTTTGTCTGTGTAATTTCTAATAAACCATTGCTCCTACTCATCTTTTCACTTATAAAAATAGGTTACTTTCGGGATGTCAGATGATTTGACGCTATAAGCTAACACTGTAATTTTCTAACTACTAGTTTCAAGCAATCATCTCAAAATAGATCTTCAAACAAATCTGAACATGAACAATAGTTTACTTTTCTGCCCAACATAGCTACCATACATCAGTCAGGGTGTTTCTAACTGAAGCAGCTAAAACACAACAGTTCAACAGCAAATTGTACACAGATATGTAATGTCACTCTGGCGTTGACTAGACGAGCACTGTGCTGATTGGCCCTGCACAGATCTGAAATTTAAATCAGATCTGAAATTAAGCCTAATATAAAATAATGAATCTTGAATGATTTACAGTACTATGCAAAAATCGCAGTCTACCTGTCATCTATTCAATTTCCAGTCAAAGCAGTCATTAAGTACAAATTATTAATTTAAGCAGATATTTTTGAGGTAGATTAGATTTAAAACACTCCACTTACATAAAGAAACACGAGGAAAGGGAAAGTCAAAGGAAAATAAGTGAAAAAACAGTAGTTCCCAAAACTGGATTTCCAAAACTGATTAAAAGTTTAAAACAGAGAACATGTGACTCCTGACAACTGTGTGAGACCTGGTAGACCCACAAAACTGTCAACATCAGATAAACAGTACCTAAAGCTTTCATCTTTATGAGACAGGACAAAATCAAGCTCCACTTTTGCTTCAAATCTGAAAAAATCCATATGTTTCTGTCTATCCTTCCACTGTGAGAAGACAACTTTACAGTATGAGTCTGAAAGGATGTGTAGCTGTCAAAAAGCCATTACTGAAAAATGAAAATGAGAAAATCAAACACAGGAGCTGCTGATGTTCTCAGATCAATTAACTGACCACCACAGAGTGAAAAACAGATTTCTTTGAAAACCTGAATGCAAGTAGTAAGCTGTAATAAAGGCAAAGGGTGGACACACTAAGTACTGCAAAAATTGGTATTACATTTATATTAGGTTTCTTTGTAAATATATGTTTATATACTTTTTTAATTAATTTGTTAAACCATTGTTTTAAACTCTGAAGGTTGGTCTGTTTGAACATGGATGTATGTGCTCTCTGGAGTACCCTTACCAAAAGATGCCACAAAAAATGGTTGGGTTTTTTGAGTTATAAAATGGCCACGTTGTAATTTGGGATGCAGTACATTATGGCTCTGGTTGCATACTGGAATATTTTGCCAGAGAAGTACATCATCTGTGTATCTTTGGCATAACCGAGACC